GAACAAATCTGCTACATTGTTACATGACTGGACTTTCAAGATATTTACCTCACCCTGCTTCTAGAGTTCGTGGGTATAGAAAAATTTAGGAGATATATGCTTACTCATATTATTCTTAATATAACCCATTTTCATTTGTGCAACACATGCTGCATTATCCTCATAGATAATAGTGGGGGTATCCATGGTACTAAGACCACATGACTTCTGGATATGGTTAGTCATCCGTCGTAGCCAAGCACATTCACGTGCGGCTTCATATAGCTTAATAATCTCTGAGTGGTTTGTTGATGTTGCTACCAAGGTTTGTTTACAAGATGTCCAGGACATAGCAGTACCACGACAGAGAAATATGAAACCAGTTTGAGATCTTGCATTATGCGGATCAGATAGATATCCAGCACCTGCATAGCCAACCAATGTTAGATCCTGATTCTTCGAGAAATACAAGCCAAGATCTTGGGTGCCATTCAGGTATCGAAGTGTGGGGGGTACGACCCCGGATACCCACGGCAAACAACATGGACTGCGCTCCCAGGGGCGGTCCAGCCCACAAGACAAAGCCTTATGGGGCATGGCGCTGCTCGACGTGCCCCGCAAGACACCGGAAAGATATCCTGAAGATACTACGAGATCTGTTAGGATACGATCGATCCCATGATTCATGTAATCTGTTATTACTTTCTGGTTATCTTCTAGATCTAACCAACTTGTAACCCTGCCCCCAAGACTATATAAGGCGGGCAGGGACCACCTCCAAACACACCCAATATCATACAATAAAACAATGACACATGACGAAGGGTATTACGCCTTATGTCACCATCCGGTTCCTATCACGCGTACCTCCACCGATGAATCTACCTTTGTGGGATACCCCTCGGAGGACTACCAAGCATCTTTTGTCGACACTAAGTATTGTCTTAACGCCTACCCAATGTCTTCCAGTTGGGTTCGCACTGTGACGAGCTGGCAAATTTACTGCGAATGTAATATCAGACCTAGTGCAGTTCGCAAGGTACATCAGTGCTCTAATAGCGCTCAAATAGGGAACTTCATGTCCTAAAGGCTTCTCGTCATCACTTCTCGGTCTAAATGGGTCTTTGTCCTACTCAAGTGATCTGACAACCATCGGGGTTTTCACTGGATGAGCCTTTGACATATTAAATCTTTCTAAAACCTTTTTCGTGTAGGTAGATTGGTGTACAAAAATTCCTCTAGGGAGATGCTCGATCTGCAGGTCCAAGCAAAACTTGGTTCTACCCAAGTCTTTCATTTCAAACTCCGCCTTGAGGTAGGCGCTTGCTTCCTCAATGTGTTCTTTATGGCCTATGATATTTAAGTCATCAACATAGAGTGAAATAATACAAAAACCCTTCTGGGATGTTCTAATAAATACACAAGGAGAATCAGTATCATTAACATATCCCTTCTTCAGGAGAAAGTCACTTAACCGATTGTACCACGTCTGACCAGACTGTTTAAGCCCGTACAGTGTCCTCTGCAACTTAACACTGTACATGTTACGATTTGTTTTAGAATCCAGAATTTTCAGTCCATCTAGGACTTTCATATATATATATATGTATATGTGTGTCTATATATATATATATATATATATATATATATATACACACACACACACACACACGAATCTAGCGACACATACAGATATGCGTTCACTATGTCCATCATATGCATTTTCAAGTTTAAGCCTACTACCATAGATATTAAATATCGGAATGTTATGTCACTCATAACTGGAGAATATGTTTTATCATAATCTATGCCGGGTCTCTGCGTGAACCCTTGTGCTACGAGCCTCGCTTGGTATCTCACCACCACATTGCTCTCATCTCTCTTTCGAACAAACACCCATTTGTATCCTATAGGGAATACTTTGGGGGGCTTGCGGACGATGGGCCCGAATACTTGCCTCTTAGAAAGCGAGCATAATTCCGTCTCTATTGCTTCTTTTCATTTGACCCAATCTGAGCGCTTCCGGCACTCTGCCATGGACTTTGGTTCATGATCCTCATTAATCGCTTCCGCGATCTTAGAGACGAAATTAATGTCGACACTGTATTCTTTCTGTTATATAGTTCTCCATATTCAGCATAATTTATGGCAATTTCTTCAATTGTATCATCCAGCTCGTCATGATTTCCCAAATTACTCAAGCCTGTTTATTCCATTGTCCTTGTGCTATTATTTGTATTTGTGCACACATTTGCACTAGGACTTTCACCTTCAGGATGTGTCATTGTTGGGACGACTGAATGGGAGCGTAATGCGTTCTCTCTAACAACTTGCCTTTGCGGGCGTCCCCGCTTGGCTTGCCCCGAGTCATCTGGATTTCTCCCCCTTTTCCTAGGATTGGGGATTTGGGTAGAGTTCATGCCCTCCGGGGGTATCTCCACTCTCTCCGATGCATTAGCCGCACGAATATATGATTTTGACACTCCTCTTATATCAGTAAACGTGACTGGTAGATTATTCGCTAATTGTTGCAAGTTCATTATTCTTTGAACTTCAAGTTCAGTATCTTTAGTGCGTGGATTAAGCGATTGAATGCTGCTGGCAGTCCAATCTATTTCTCGGCATTCTTTATTATTAAGGTACAATCCTCCCCCTAACGCTGGGAAATGCTCTTCATCGAAGTTGCTATCAGCGTACCGAGCCGTAAACAGATCTTCGATTTTAGGCTCCAAATATTTGATTATGAACGGAGAGTCATAACTTATATATATCCTTAACTTCCGGTGAGGTCCCATAGTTGTACGCAAGGGTGGTGATATCGGCACATATACAGCACAGTCGAATTTTCGCAGATGGAAAATCATTAGTTGTTGTACAAGCGCTAACTGGTGAGGGGAAGCAGAGTGAGATGCAGATGGCCTATACTGGATTAAGGCAGCAGCGTGCAACACTGCGTGTAGGGATGGACAAAATACTCGCGGCTCGCCAACTCGCTCGACTCGTGGTTGGCTCAGCTTGGCTCGACTCGGCTCGTTTTAACTTTTTCACGAGTTGAGCTAGAAGTCTAGCTCGCTATTTTAACGAGCCAACTAGCGAGCTGAAACGAGCTAAGGCCTAACAACCCACGACCATGAATCCAGAAGATGATGATGCTGACCTAGAAGTGTACACATATTCTATTGGTATGTAATCCTTATTTTCGGCTATTTCATATGAATTTTAATTTTATAATTGTTGTGGTACTTAAATGTTGATTTTATGGATTATTTTTTAGAGAGAAGATGATGATGTTGACATTGAATCTGTAGACTTTCCTAAGTTAGTGGTGGCAAGCAACTAGTTAGTATGCTGGAACTACATAATCATGGATGGACCTGCTATGTTGCATGGTTGATACTTTTAATGAATCTGATATGTATTAATCATGTATGGTTGCATAATGGTGGACGTAACGTTCTGAAATTAATGTAGCATAAATATTATAAACATGTGTGTCCTATTTTTTTATAGCTCGCGAGCTAAACGAGCCAGCTCGAGCTCGATAGTGAGCCGAGCCGAGCTAGCTCGTTAGCCTAACGAGCCAGCTCGAGCTGGACCGAGCTGAGCCAGCTTGGCTCGATATCCAGCCCTAACTGCGTGTCCCCAACAACTAGTTGGAAGTGTGCTATCTTGTAGAAGCGGTCTGGCAATTAATTTTATTCTTTTTATTAAAGATTCAGCAAGCCCGTTTTGTGTGTGCACATGGGGCACAGAATGCTCTACAATTATGCCCAAACCAAGACAATAATCATTAAATGCTTTTGTGGTGAACTTTCCACCATTATCCATCCTGATTACTTTTATGCAGTTCTCCGGGAAGCTAGCACGCAATCGAATGATTTGGGCAATAAGTTTTGCAAAAGCATGGTTCCACGTAGACAACAGGCATACGTGGCTCCACCGAGTAGAAGCATCTATAAGCACCATAAAGTATTAAAAGGCCCCGACAGGGGGTGAATAGGACCACAAATGTCACATTGAATTCTCTCCAAAAAACCTAGTGACTCGACATTTAACTTTAGGTAAGAGGGTTTAGTTATTAATTTTCCTTTAGCACAAGACAAGCATAGAAAGTCTTTGGGAATTTGTATGGTTTTAATGCCATGACCAGCAGATCGTTTTATGATGTTCCGCATCATGCTTAATCCAGGGTGTCCGAGTCTTTCATGCCAGATCTAAAAGACTCGGGATTTTTAAATATAGTAGACATCGCAACGTATTCTTGAGGTGGCTTAATTTTTGTGTAGTAAATTTCCGAGGAGGTGCCTGACGCTTTTTCTACCACTTTTGTCCCACATTCGTCTGCTGTCGTGATATAGAGGTATTCAACACCATTTTCACAAGCAGGTGTAACGTGGTAGCCACTACGACGTATATCTTTGAATGTGAGGAGAGTACGTACAGCTCCCGGGTACAAAAATGCTTCTTCTATGAAGATGCTGGTATTATTAGGGAGTACGGCCACGGCTCGACCGGAACCTACAATATAGCCGTTGTGACCAACAATCATGGTAATATTTTCAGTCTTTTTCTGAAGTGTCTGAAAATATTTTGTCTCTCGAAGTATTGTATTTGTGGTAGCGCTATCAACCAGGCAAAATACTTCTTCAGTCTCCATGGAAAGTACAACTCTTGTTCTATTAAATATAGTAGTAATTTAATCCATCATGTATAATCAATATAGCAAGCCGATTAAAAGATAGCATGTAACTGAACAAGGGATAAACTGATTAAAATAATGCTATGCACCAAGACATTCATGTCGAGAGTTAATGCTAACAAAAATAATAAAGTTGCCCAATGGGAGCACTATAAATTGATTAAAATAATGCTATGAACCAAACCATTCATGCCGAGAGTTTATCCTAACAGAATAATGAAGTTGCTCAACGGGAGCATTATTACATCACACATGACTTTAATTGTTTTGTTGAAAATAAATCACACTGGCTAACAAATAAACAAATGGCTCATAACTTGGCCTACTCCTCAAGGAGATCCTCGTTGTTGAGGTCAAAATCATCATCACCAGTATACGCATCTCCCATTTCAGCAGTATGATTTCCAGTGGCATTATGATCAGCATCCATAGCTGCTGATTCAAGCTTCTCTATAGGCTCTAATGGCTCTAGGAGGTGTAGTCCAGTCACGACATCGACAGATGCCTGGACGAAGTATACCTCTGGGTTTTGGCGCTTCTTCCACTCTTGATATAGCTCAATCAAGTGTGGGTCGGTAGTGCAAGTACGGGACCAATGTTGGTGGGATCCATAGCGGAAACAACCCACATTTGAGTGTTTCCCCCCACTTGCCTCGTCCTTTGAGCCCTTCTGGGACTTGCCTTTGCCATTGCCATTGAACTTCTAGCCATTGCCATTGCCATTGCCATTGCCATTGACTTCTAGCCTTTGTTCTTAAACTTTCCCCCTTTTTGCCCCTGGTGACCATGAAACTTTTGGCCCCTATTTTTGAAAGAACCTTTACCGTTGCTGTTACGGAAACTACCATGTGCTTTAGGATGAGCCTGTGTCCCAGCAGGGCACATGTGGAAGTTCTTCATCAAGAGTTCATTCTGAGCCTCAGCGACAAGCAGCACATTGATGAGATCACAGTACTTAATGTACTTGTTATGGTACTGCTGTTGGAGTACCATGTTAGTGGGGTGGAAAGTCTCAAGAGTTTTCTCAATCATATCGAGCTCAGTGACGACCTAGTCACAAAAGCGAAGCTGAGCCACAATACGATGAATCGTAGTATTATATGCCTCATCTGTCTTGAAGATGCAAGATTTTGCCTTGTCATGGGGTGGCGGAGCAGGAACACCGACTATAGGCCTAGCGATCGTGGGAGTCAGCTACATCGCCTGCAGATGGAACTCATAGTCGAGTGCCCAAGTTTGATAGTGAAAGTGCATCTAGCCCTTTAGTGGGTTTTGGATGATTGAATGACGACGTGATTAAAGGTCTAACCCATTTGTTAAGTGTGGATAGGTAATAGGTTATCTCACCGGTACTTAATGAAAGCCAAAATGATGTGTTGTCGTATAAACAATCTAGATCAAGCATAAGACAACAATGCAAATGGAATTCATACAAAGGCTTATTTATTGTGGAATTTCCATGTACTATGTGAAAGCAAGCTTGTAAGAATTAATTAATGAGACATAAGGGATTGCATATGGAATGGTCTCATATTTGAAGCTTGCTAAATTGAAATAAAAAAGATAACAATACATGAATGGATGATTCAACACAAGATGTGACTTGATGGCTTGAGATGGTGAAGATAACAAGGAAAGGCTTCAAGGTACTAAGCAAAGGTAAAGGGCAAGTGACGGCTTGGCGGCCAAAGAACCTAGCTAGGGTGAAGAAGAAAGTACTTGCATTTAGTTGAGATACTAATCAAGCTATGATGGTCATGTTAATGTGGAGGATCAAATCGCTATTGGAGTGTTTGATGGAAGTGACTTGATACATTTGGGATTATTCAAAATTGATGAATGAAATCAAGTCACGTGCTCAAGATGGCTATGCTCAAGTAAAAAGATCAATATCAACATGTTGGCACCCTCACTTGATGAAGATTGGAATACACGGTTTCTGTTGCGAGAGATCAACTCAAAAGGTTTAAATTCGTTATACTTTTAAATTTGAGTTAATAGGAATGACGTACTATTAAGAGGGATGCCTCATGTTGATAGATAATGTTTCATAAGTGCTAAAGCCAACCCATGTGAGTTTTGAGTGTTTGAGAGACAAGAACTAATCTGTTTTTGCTGATCTGGCAATACCGGGCGTGTCCGGTATGTGCCTAGCAACGATAGTTCGTCGGGAGTTCCGATGTGGGTCAGAAGTTCTGACGGTCGGGAGTTCCGGCATAGGTTGGGAGTTCCGATGTTTCATGCTTAACTGACTCAGAGGTTCACTGTCCTGGTCATACCAGACGTGTTTGGTATTCATACCCGACGTGTCTGATATGGACGACCAGAGGCCAACGGCTAGTTTTCAAATGCCTTGAGGGTCGGGAGTTCCGACATGAGTCAGGAGTTCCGACGGTCGGAAGTTCCGGCATGCGTCGGAACTTCCGACACCTCACTAACTTCAACTCAGTTACCTAGTTTTCAAATATGCTGAGGGTCGGGACTTTCAACGGTCGGGAGTTCCGACATTCATCGGGAGTTTCAACGCCTCACATTGTCACTGTAACTTAGTTACCGTTGGTGCAGTGTAAGTCATATCGGCCGTGTTTTTCCAAGGAGGCTATAAATACCCCCAAGCCTCCACCTTTGGAGGTTGCTAATTCTACTGGTTGCTATACATGTTTTTTAGCCTTGCCAACTCTCCCAACCCTCTCTTAGTGAGTGATTGATCAAATTTGCCAAATCAAATTGTGGGTTCAGTGAAATTCAAAAAGAGAGCAATCCAACCACTTGAGCACTTGTGCATATTGTGAATCTCATGATTCGCATTTGTTACTTTTGGACTCTTTGGTCCTAGACGGTTAGGTGTCGTCGGAGAGCACCCGAGAGATTATGGTGTGCCTCGGAAAGTTTGTAATGGTAGATTCCACCGCCTCGGAATCAACTAGTGGAAGGAGGAAAAGGAGTTGGAAAAGACTCTGGCTAGAGTGACCCTCGTGGTAACCTCTAGGGCTGACCTTCGCTGGGTCGCCCGCAGCCCCCTCGACGGAGAGTAGGACTCGAACGAGTCCGAACTTCGGTAAAACAAATATCGTGTCTCAATGCGCATTTCATTCGATATTTGTGTTGCTCTAGCTCTTGTGTAGGTTCTCTGTGTTTACTGTCATCTCTAGTAGGTACCTGCAGTTTGGTTTGAAGATAGAAATCGAAAGGAGCAAGTTTGGGGCTGTTCTGTAGAAATCGTGTATACCGGACACGTCCGGTATTCATACCAGACACGTCCGGTATTTCCTACTTATGCTGAAAATATTTATTCTTGGTTCTAACTTTGTGCTGTAGGGTTGTAGCTTCTAGATATATTCTTTATATCTTGTTTACTCTGTGGCGAACTTGTGAGGGGTGGTATTACTCTTAATTTAGAGTTTCCATTTTGGAAACTCCATTTTCTAATTGTTTCCGCATTTAAAGGTGTTAATTTTCAGAAACACCTATTCACCCCCCACCTCTAGGCGGCATCCTAGGTCCTTTCAATTGGTATCAGAGCTTTGTTCTCACCTAAAGCTTCACCGCCGTGAGAAATGGATATCGACGCCTATCGAGTTAGAGCCAATGCTTCTCCAAAATGATGGTTCAAACTTTCTACCTTGGTCAATACATGTACTCAATGCTTTTAGAGACATTAGTCCTCTTGTTGAGCATATTATGGATGTAAGCATACCTCTTTCTATAGTTGATTGGAGCAACTACAAAAATTTGTCAAAAGAGGAAGAGATATGCGTGCAACTCAATGCTCAAGCTATTAATATTATTTTGAGTACATTGAGTGCAGAGGTTCAAGATGAGGCAATCTTCAATGGACAACCACCTCCGAAGAGTGCTCATCTCATTTGGACTAGACTTTTTGATTTATATGGAAAATCCAAATGTGATGATGCACTTGAGATCAAGTCAATGGAAAGTATGTCCATTGTGTCTTCATGCAGCGAAGAAGCCTCACAAGACCTTAAGAGCGCCGAGCTAGAGCAAGAAGTGCAAGCAGCGCATGACTTGCTGTCTGCCTGCACATGCCGGTATGGCTGAGGCAGCAGAGCAGCAAGCAGTTGTTTGCAATGATGCTCAAGCCTGGTGGCGTCCAAGTGATGAGTCAACCTCAGTGTCTCATGAAACTCATCACTTATGTCTCATGGCTAAGAGAAGCAAGAAGAAGAGTAACAAGAAAGATCAAGAAAAGGAGAAAGCATAAGTAGATGATCAAGATAAGAGTGATGTTGAAGTTGAAGACAACTACAACCTTGATCATCTCAACCGCAAAGACAAGTTCATCATCATGAATATAGTTAAAAAGAATGATGAGCTTGAAGAAGAAATTGAGAAGCAAGAGCAATCACTTCAAAACCAAGAATTGTTTCTCATCTCCAAGATGGAAGAACTAAAGGCTATAAGTGAAAGGTATGAAAAATTGTCAATTGAGCATGCTTTAGTTACTAACTCCTCTTCTAGTGTTTCACAACTAGAGAAGGAAAACTTGGAGCTCAAGGCAATGCTAGATGAACTATCAAGCAAATATAATGTGCTACAAGCAAACTATGTTCATCTAAAGTGCTCTCATGATGAAGTAGTAGAATCAAGCATCATGCTTGAGGTGGCTCATGAGGTTGTGATCACATCAGAAAAAATTTCTCAACCTCTCACACATTCACTCACTAGTACACCATCTCAATTAAATATTTCTTGTACTAATGAATGTGCTCCTCAAGCAAGCCAATCTTTGATTGAGCTAAAATTCATAGAAAACATAGAGCTCAAAGAAGAGGTGGAAAGATTAAAAAAGATGTGATTCGGTTAAAGGGTAAGGAGAAAGCACAACCTTCTCAAGATAACCGTGATAACATGGTGAAGAAGCTTGAGAAGGGTTCAAACCTTGCTTCCTCCAAAGCCCAACAAAAGAATCACATTTCAAGCAAGGACAACACAACCAAGAGCAAGAAACATGGAAAAAGGATGTGCTATGGTTGTGGATTGTATGGACATGAGTGGGCTATGTGTCCACACAAGAGTTGGGCCAACAAGTGTGAAGCGGCTGAACAAAAGGCCTCAAACAAGTTGGCAAACCAAAAGAAAAGTGATGGACAAAGTGCTTGTCTCATGAGCAAGAAATTAGGGCATCCTACCAAGAAATGCCTAATGTACAAAGAGGCAAGAAAGGAAGCCCAAGTTGCAACAAGAAGATGCTATGGATGCAATGAGATGGGCCACAAGGTTGATAGATGTCCATACAAGCAAAGCAAGCATAGAGCAAACAAAGGTCGCATATGCTATGCTTGTAGAAGAAAGGGGCATTTAAGCTATGAATGCCCAAATGGTAACACACCTAAGCCGAACACATTTGTTTATAATGATATGCTTAGAAAGACCACAAATGTAGTTAGCACTAGCAAGGTGATGTGTTCACCACAAACTAGTACTAAAGCTATTTGGGTGCATAAGCACTTGTTGACTAACTCAAAAGGACCCAACAAGAGTTGGGTACCAAAGTGTGCTTAGGTTAATGATGTAGGTACTTGATGATGAGATAAAGGCTTCGGAGTGGTTGAGCAAGCAAATTGATAATACTCACTCAATCTATTAACCAATTCTTATCATAATCTCTTATATGGTTGACCCGAAGATAATTTAATAAATATATCATTTACTTCATCTTCACCATTGGTAACAAGTACCTAAACCTTATAGGATAGCCACTTTACTTGTTTTGTGCTCAATGACTCACAAATAGGCATATTTGTGAAAAAAAATGAAAGTGGCTAATTAGGTTTACTTGATAATTATCATGTTTGCCATATGGTGCTTTTAATAGCTCTCTAGTAGAGAAATTCATTTGTTGAGATACAGGTATACAACAAAAAATAAAGCTAAACAAAGAATCACAAGCAGCGAATCAATTGTTTGTCTTGCACCTACCGGATGTGTCCGGTATTGCAGGAACCAGAACACTAATAGGATTACAACTGAGTCTTTGATCCATATATTTTCATATATCCTCAATTTACTCA